AGAAAAGGTGGCGGAACTCAAACCTGGCCACGCCCTCATCAAACCCTAGGACCGCCCCTTTAGAGAACAGGAATGCAAGTAAAATTTGGGAGGGGCTATTTCCGGTGTGGGAGGGGCTATTTCCGGTGCGGCCGGCCCGGAAAAAGGTGCCGGAACGCGGTTCCGCCGCGTTCCGGCTGAAAAAAAGCCCTGTATAGTGCTATATAGAAAGAAACATTCTCTATGTAAAATATAGAATTGCAGAGCAGGGAAGAATCCAGTGCATCATTTAGCTGATGTCCTATCTGTCCTATCCCATTCCTTCAGGCTCAATGCAGTACTTGCAAACAAGATAAAATAATGAAAATTGAAAAGTTGTGTGGGATAATGAAATTGTTTTCCTTATCCTCTTATTGCATTCATATATATCAGGCTAAGCCTAAGAAGAACGTAGAACACTTCAGCCAGAGTTCAGTTCTTTATTTGCATATACATAATACGAACTAAACCCTTACTACTCCCAGCCTAATGGATATAACCTGAGAGATTCTAGGGAGCAGCTATTCTAACTCTCTTCCTCTGTCTTCTATCTAGTTCCGGGCTGTGCTCCCTCCTCCGGTTTCTGGAATGTGATCCCTCCTTCCTGCTGCTTCACTGTAATCTCACCAACTCCCCTTCCGTAGGCACTAGTGCAGGGGTCCTCAACCTTGGCAACTTTAAGACTTGTGGACTTCAACTCCCAGAATTCTTCAGCCAGCTTTGCTGGCTGAGGAATTCTGGGAGTTGAAGTCCACAAGTCTTAAAGTTGCCAAGGTTGAGGACCTCTGCACTAGTGTATACTGTAAAATTCTAAAATGAAAATACCAGGCTGTCACTTGAATGTCTTGAACTTATTGGTTAGTATGCTTCTGTATGTGGGAATGACCTAAGGAGATAGGGGGAAAAGATGCTCCCTATGGAACAATCAGATGAGGCAGGGCGCAGCCACAGCTGCATAATGGGCAGAGAAAGAGACTCAGAAAAGATGCTCCCTAACTTCTCAGGCTGTCAAAGAGACAGCAGGAGATTTGTACCATCAAACTTGCAAGGTACTGATAATGTAGCCTCATAATAAAGTAGAACTAGCTGATCTGGTCCTGTTCCCTGTCTGGTCTACCTAGGAAGGCTGACAGCTTCATTTCTGCCTTCCCTTCAGAGTATACATCTTATTATGTGGATAGAGGAAGAGGTGAGAAATGCTGTCGCAACATCTATCTCACATTTATTTATTTGTTTGTTTATTACAGGTTTCAGTAATTATTATTATGTATTAAATTAGACATTTATTAAACTTATATATTTATATCTAAGCGGTCTAACCTTGGGGGCTTTAGAATTCTCCAGGAACATGTGTCCTTGGCCACCTCAGTCAAGACTTAACTGGGGTTGAAGCTTAATAAATCAGATTGAAGAAGGTAGATTTATGGCATGAAATCTTTGGTTACAGTTTCTTATTTCTGTCATTCTCACAGGTACCAAACTCTCTAAGCAGCCTGTACGGAGAAGTAATCCAAAGCATGATTTTTAATAGGCGGAATGAAATTACGTCTACAGGGAACAGTGTTGAATATTTACAACACTTTATTGTATCTGTTCCCTACAGATGTAACTTACAAGTGTTGTAAATGTACAAAGGGTAAGATGCATATTAATGTAAAAGTGATGCAGGGACAGAAACCTGAATGCCTGGTTTGCGGAGAATATTTTATGTCATGCTCATTGTGAATAATGAGAGCTTCCCCCCCCCCCCGGCTCTCTTTTTTTAATTCATATTTTCAGTGCTTTTTTCTTTTAAAAAAAAAAGGGTGCCGGAACTCACACACATCATACAACCCGCCTTGCCTACCCTATAAGGTTCCCTCCAAAAAAGGTGCCGGAACTCCATTCTGGGCGTTCTATGAGAAAAAAAGCCCTGCATATTTTTTTAAAAACATATTTCCTAGAAAAGAAAACCTAAAGGTTGATATTAACAGAATATCCCATACCTTGCAGATAGTTTCCTGGTACAACAGTGCAAAAACTGTCATAGTTTCCATGTTGGAAATATGTGTGTATAAATTTCAGTTTGCTGGAGCAGGAAGCCCAGTTTGGACTGTCTGCATATTTACAATGTTTGCCTGGGCAGGCTGACCTCTTCAGAAGGTGGCCACATCCTACTTTATAGACATTCTTAAAACATCATCGCATCAGCCTCCTCCCTCCTATATAAGATGTTTCCTGTTCCTACTGTTCACCTTCCCCCCCCTCCCCTTTTTCTGGATAGATGGGCATCATTCCAAAGATAGCACGGCTCCATTTTTATTTTCTAAGAAACTTTATGAGACCCAGTAGCATTCTTGGAAATAAAAGCAGGAATGGAAGTTGAACTTTGCTTTATAATATTCCAGATATTCGCCTGTAACATTTTCTTTAATCTTTTAGAATTATCAAATCTTTAATTTGGATTAGCATTGATAATGTTTTTTGAACTAATCTTATCTCGAAGTAGATGTATTCTTAAATTTTGTGTCGGTGAAATTTAAATAAAGTACAGTACATTGGCATAATGGATTTGGGGTATTTATAAATAAATAGTTCCTGTTGGGAATTCCTGAGGTAAACCTTAGAAGTCATAAAATGAAATTAAAACTACAAGAGGATGAAAAATGTAAACTGCTTTAATTCAGTATGACTGACCTGCTGCACTTTGGATAATTTGCCATCTAGTCAGTGTTGACTCTTAGCAATCACATAGATTTTTTTCCATTACAATCTGTCCCTAACTGGTCTTTCAGGTCCTCTAATGGTGCAACCATGATTACTGGATAACTGAGGCCATCCAGTTTGCTGCTGGTCATCATCTTCTGGAATAGAATAATTTGAGCCTGGAAATTTGTGCCTTGAGTGAGAACTCTGGATTGACATCTCCAGTGATCCATTTTTTTTGTTTTCTGGCTGTCCACTATATTCTCTGGAATCTTTTCCAACACTAAAGTTCAAGAACATCTATACTCTTGATACCAACTTTCGCTTCCATAGATTGTCACAGGGAATACTATTTCTTGCACTATTTTAATCTTGGTAGATATAGACACATCACTGTGTCCGAATACCTTTTCCAAGTGCTGCTCTTAATGCCATGGTATATGCTGTTGGATAGGAAAATGTCAGGATTGCCACTGTAAATAATAAACGTGCACATTTTTAGCGTTCTGCAGTCCAGAATTACATGGCACAGGACGATTAAAATAAAATACCACTAGCAAATACAATGGTAATAAGAGGAATGTTAAAGTAATATACTGTAGAAGTCTTATGCAATATAATAACATATCTGGCAGAGACATTGCAGGAGTACCACACTGAAGTATGAGTACCATTGGACTAATAACTGACCCCCTCTCCCTGCTGCACATCTTGCTCCCTCCTTGCCCACCTTTTAATTCATATTGCTGTACTTTCATTATTTATTTTCATTATTCCGTTGTTTTACTATTTTTATATTTACATTTTTATAATTTTCTACTATTGTAAGCTGCCCAGAATAACCCCACAGCAAGAGGGGCGGCAAATAAATTTAATAAGAAATTAAAAAAAAGGCTGGCAGATGAAATGCCTTTAAAAGGCAGGAAACAATAAATAAATATATAATAACTATAAAATAATAAAAAGCTATTGTAGGATTAATGTAGAATGTTAACAGCTTTAGCAGCATTTGCTGAGAAGCCCTCCTGTGTACTATTCTTCATATTTCAAAACAATGCATCTACGTGTTTGTAAGGAAACATTTTTCTTTTATGTTTGACAGACAGATGTGCTGGTGCTGAGCTGTGATCTAATTACAGATGTTGCTCTTCATGAAGTAGTAGATTTATTCCGAACTCATGATGCCACACTCTCCATGTTAATGAAGAAGGTCTGTGAACCCACCGAACTCGGACCTGGACAAAAAGGAAAGAAAAAATTAGGTAATTCAGTGAGCTTTATTCTGGAATTTGAACCACAGGTAGTTTCACAAGGATTGGTAGTTTTTGCAGAGTATAACAGTTTTCACAAGCTGTCTGCAAGCTGAAATGATATCTCAGATTCTCTTTCAATTCCTGATAGCCATATAATTATTATAATTAGTATTATGATGTTGCCATGTAATATAAGTCTGTCATTTTTCTGTTATATTCTAGCAGCAGTTCTGTTCCTAATCACAAAAGATTGAGTACTTAGCAATAATAATAATAATAATAATAATAATAATAATAATAATAATAATAATAATAATAATAATAATAATAATAATAATAAAAGTTGGAAGGGACCTGCCAGCAACCAGTCTGCACAAACAAGCAAAGCCCCATCTGCAGGATGCAGGCAGCACACAAAACCAAGCACCCTCCGGTCCATGGCAAAACCTCTCTCCATGGAACTGGTCCCTAGTGCCCAAAAGGTTGGGGACCTCTGCATTAGAAGAATCTCTTGGAAACTATGATGCCTTGGGCATGTAGGAGGACAGCACCCCCCCAGAGAAATAAATATCTTCCACTGATAATAATAATAAAGTTGGAAGGGACCTTGGAGGTCATCGAGTCCAAAGCCCTGCTCAGGCAGGAAACCCTACACCATTTCGGACAGATGGCTGTCCAGTCTCTTCTTAAAAACTTCCAGTGTTGGAGCATTCACCGCTTCTGGAGGCAGGTTGTTCCATTGGTTAATTGTTCTAACTGTCAGGAAGTTTCTCCTTAGTTCTAGGTTGCATCTCTCCTTGATTAGTTTCCATCCGTTGCTTCTTGTCCTGCCCTCAGGCGCTTTGGAGAATAGCTTGACTCCCTCTTCTTTGTGGCAGCCCCTGAGATATTGGAACACTATTGAATCAGGTTGATTTATACCATCAGGTAAAATGCACGATCAGAACCCCAAAATAAACTATATGTGACTTAAAAGATTATGCCTGTAACAAAAATTTGTTAGTTTGAAAAGAATCTACCAGATTCCTTTTGATTTTGGCTGCCATAGACTAACACAGCTCTCTTCCTACAATACTTAATATGGTGACTTTCTTTTTAAACCTTATAATACTCAAAATATTTGTTGTTTGTGGCATTCCATCACTATTCTGTTTAGGCAGAATAAACATAAGCTTCTTAAATGAAATTGGTGCTGCACTGCTGTTTATGTTCTCCTGTTTGTGTTCATTAACTTTGGCAATGTCTCTTTTAGAAATGATTCCTCAATTTTGGAATCTCTTTTAGAAAATTTACCCTTTATTTCTACATAAGTCCAAGATTCTAGCTCAGTGATGGCGAAACTTTTAGAGACCGAGTGCCCAAACTGCAATTTTAATAGGTGTACTATATGTTTGTATTTTATCCAATTGTTAGCCGCCCTGAGTCCGCAAGGAGAAGGGCGGGATATAAATGTAATTAAAAAAAAAACCAAAAAAAAAAACACCCACTTATGCATCGTCGGGTGCCGGGTGGGTGTGGCCCATTGGCTGGGTGTGGCCCATTGGCTGGGTGTGGCTGCAGTGGTAAAGGCAGACTGGGTGGGACTAAAAAGTTCAATCGATCAATTCCGACTTTGCAAGATCTTTTTTTTCCCACGAGAAGTTGAAATTGACTGATTGAACCTTTTTTTTTTTTTTGCACACGGTGGTGGAGGCCTAAAGCAAAAAGGTTTTATAAAACCCAGCTGAAAGCCTAGGACTGGGGTGACGGCCCACGTGCCCACAGAGAGGGCTCTGAGTGCCGCCTCTGGCACCCGTGCCATAGGTTCGCCACCACTGTTCTAGCTATTAATTAATATCATTATATGAAACAATAGGTCTCTCAATAGTTGCTAGCTATGCCCAAAATAATAAGATTTTAGTGAGAAGACAAAAACAGCTATTCCCTCATTATCCCTAATTCAATAATTCAAATTGTAGAAGCATGGAAGTGGCAATACAAGTATCTTTCAAATTACGGCGACATATAGCTAAAGGACCTCTAATGGAGCTTTTTTATATTTCTTTGGTTCCTCCCTGGTTGGAACACCCTTGCTAGAATTTTCAGGAAAATTCTTTCAGGTTTGATGAGCAAACTTTGTTGACATTTAAACAGTTAGTCCTCAACTTACAACCATTCATTTCGTGACCATTCAAAGTTACAATGGCATTGAAAAAAGTGACCAGTCCTCTGCGATATGACTAATGTAGCATCCCCACAATCAAAACTGACATGCTTGGCAACTGGCATGTACTCCCGATGGTTGTAGCATCTCGAGGCCATGTGATTAACCACTTGCAACCATCCCACCCAGCTTCTGACAAGCAAAGTCAATGAGGGAAGTTGGATTCACTTAAGAACCACATTATTCACTTCACTGCAGTGATTCGCTTAACAGTCATGGCAAAAAAGGTCATAGAATAGGGTCCAAGTCACTTAACAACTGCTTTGTTCTAATCTCAATTGTGGTCATAAGTTGAGGACTACCTGCATATGCTTTGTTTCAGGTGTCTAGCCATACTCTTACTAGGTTACAGACAAGGATTATTAAAGAGTTATGTTATGATTTTCTATTTCAGTGGAACAGCGTGACTTCATTGGAGTAGATGCCTCAGGGAAGAGGTTGCTTTTCATGGCCAATGAAGCAGATCTGGATGAAGAAATTGTCATTAAGAGATCTATCCTTCAAAAGTAAGCTTTGGACTTTGCCTGTTTCCAAATTAACAAGTTTCAGTTTTATGAAATATACTGAAAACAAGTAATTATGGAGATGAAGGCTAGCTGCTGTATATATTCAAAATTTTCCATTTCACCCAGAATCTAAATTTTTGTGATGTGTATTTATGGTTATTATATATGTTTTTCAAAGCTACTCTCAAGGATATTTACAAGGTGTTTAAATATTCATTATAAAGCATAATAATATGCACCATAAAATTATAATATGAAATTGAGCAATTTAATTATTTATTTCCTATAGCTAGTTCACAGCTTATTGTTGATCCAGGAGGAAATGGGGTGAATGTTACAGCCTCTAACTTTCTCCTACAGAAAATAAGCTACTATAATGATTGTTCCTTTTACTACAATTTCTTTATCTTTGCTTCCCATTTGTTTCATCATTTTGCAAGTAGAACTAACATGGAAAGCCAATAGATTCGTTTTATTTTCATTTTTTCAAACATTTACTGATGAAGTGAAATTGGGAAGGAGGAAATAAGATAATGCAAACTGGGATATCTCAATATGTGAATATACGAATAATATTCATTTCTGAATTTTTCATATAAATACATGTATTAATTATTTTATATGTTATGTTTATCGATTATTGTTCTTTTCTAACTTGATACAAAGCACAGTATGAAAATCTGAGTCCCTGAAGTATTCATTAAAAAGGCATTGCATCAATTCTTCTTTCCAAGGTGGTGCTAATAGACCGTATATTAACATTACAATTAAAATTTAATATTAGTCTTGCAGTGAGATTCTCTGCAACATAGATGGTGAAGTTCCAAATGCATTTTGCTTGACAACATTAATTGGAATAATAATTTCTAGGCATTTTCTTTTCTAATCTTTTTAACACAATAAAGTAGAATTACAAAAGCTTTGTCATTAATCTCTATTACGGTCATTAACTAGCATAAAGCAAAATCACTAAGCAAATGAAATTATAGATTTATAGGGTAGACAAGTAGAATTAAAATAAAAGGGGTACATGTATGTATGTATGTATGTATGTATTTTATTCAATTTAGGTGCCACTTAATCTTAAATTGACCCTGGGTGGCTAGAATATAAACTTGAATCACTGTGATATCATTAACTTGCCACTTGATTATAAGAATTAAAATTAAAAGTATAACAAGCAACACAGCCCACTAGTTGATTTAGTTTAGGCTTCAAAAATAACTACTCCTAAATATCAGTGTAGGGCAGACATGTCAAACTTAAGGCCCATGGGCCAGATCTGGCCCGTGATGTGTTTAGACCAGGCCCGTGGGGCTGCCCTGGAGACATTGAGGGGCTGGCCCTTGCCACCTCAGCCATGGCCCACCCCAGCCCGGTTCCGCTCTCCCCTGGGTGTTCACACAGGCAGCAAGCACGCGGGCCTGGTGGGGCCCGGCAGCAGCTGCAGCTCATTGGCCCCTCGGCCACTTATTTGCCTGCAGTGACGGCCATCTGGATGTGAGCCGGGGGCATCCAATAAGCTGCGCTCAGCCCCACCCCACCTATACCACACTCATGCACCTTGGGGCCCTGCAGCCAGGCCACTGCCACCTGCCTCGCCTTGCCTCATCTCGTCCCCATGGCGTTGGCAGCGGCAGCAGCAGCCCCAACCAGCAGGAGTCCCATCACCCCTCTGCTCTCATCCAGTCTGAGAAGGTCGCAGCCCACCGGGTGAAGCAGTCACCTTGGAGTGGCGCCCATCAGCGTCAACCCCCGGCTATCCTCCCACACCCACCATTAGCAACCTGGCCAAGGAGAGCAAGCACAGCAGCAGCAGCCTCAAGGAGGAGGTAAGTGTGGCCGGGGCACCCCCTTGGAGAAGCGGGACTGGGCTGGATGCACCTACCCAACCACACCCACCCAGCCACACCTACCTAGTTGCAATGACCCGGCCACACCCACCCAGCCATGCCTATCTAGTCAGGCTGACCCAATCACGCCCATCAGCCACACCTACCCAGCCACACGCATGTGGTCCTTTGCATAATGCTGAGATTAGGATAATTTTAAAGTGTACAGGTTTGGGTAATATCAAATTATTTTCTTCCTTTCACAATATTTATAGCCTGCCCATTCCTAGTAGACTCTTACATTGAATTAGATCTTATAATACACAGGGAAGAAAATTATCTATATTCAAACAGTAACAATAATTTTGTTTATAATTTTAAAATTTTAATTACTTGGCTGTCAGTCCTTACTAGATAATCTTAATTCAATTTAAAATATTGTTTATCACTGGAATCTGAAAAATACTTGCTTCTAGGGAGGCATAGAATTTCCACCTTTGCGTTATCCTAAGGATAGATATTGGATAGAAGTTTGTATCTGGGGATTTGGTATGTACTTTGAAGTCTCATTTCACTAAGCTCTATCTTTCTAAGCATTTGGCAAGCCACAACATTGAGAAATAAGGAGAATTCCATTGGCCTTTCTCCACCTCTCACCTTCAAAGGTGGTGGTGGAGCTGATATACTTGTTTTCATGGAGTGATTACTACAAGCAAAGAATTGTTTGCCTCATCTGAGATATTTATGACTGTATTCTAAAAAGTACTCTAAAAAACACCTGTTAGAGCAGGTCTAAATTTGGATCATCTTCCCTTAAAATGCTGTGGGTTGTTTGGGGATGAGCTGTCCCCAATAAACCATCCACCTTCGTGGGTGTCCCATCTCTGTAAATGCAGGTGCAGTGCTGCTCTAAAGAGGATGCACTAATAAATCACAGCCACAATCGGGCCTACTCATTACCTCATTCAAAAAAGGAATACCTCCTGTATGAATATATGGGGTAATGGCAAGAATGGCTTTGAAGTGACAATGCAGTCTCTATTCAAAAGACCTAACCCATTTATGTATGAAAAGGATATTGTGGTTTTACTTAGTCCTCTTTAAAATTCTTTTGTGGGAGGAAAAGCATATTTAAGCGTGGAGATGAATCATTAAAAGAATTGTTCAGGCACAGAAATGTATTAGGCACCTCTGAAATACTAAGAGAATACAAAGTTAGTTATGTCATTTTTGTTATTTACAGTGGAGGTTTCTTTAAACAACAAGGGGTGGATCCTATAATAATGCAATAATCTTTGTTACTGTGGTGTTCTCATGAAATTGCTTCTATGAACTTCTGTTATACTTTTTACAGTATAATTCCATAACATTGCATACTTTCTACAAAGTTAGTGCATATTTCAGGTTAATTAGGGATTGTATGTCAATGTTGAGGTTTTTATAGTTACCCCCAAGGCATTGTAAATCATCATGATTAGAAAAGGGCTACCTAGTGAGAACGGCATGTTAAGTAGCTAAGAGAATATTCTTTTTGTAAGAGTCAATTGATTTTTCCCCTACTTTTGTAAGTAAAGTTTAGCTGTTATCCCAAAATAGTATGAAGAGGGAACTCCTCTAAATCAAATTGATTGCTGCCTATAAGAGTGCTCTTGGCTTCAGATAGCCATGATAATATACTGAAGAAACTGCCGTGAAAAAGCCATGCTTGGAAAGAACTATAAACTTTCTTTTTACAATCAGTTAATCTTTGAATTGTACACTCATTTGCATTTCACTGAACAACAAAAAAGTGTAACACTATTTGCGTTATGTGTTTGTGCTAGAGTGGATAGGAAATTTAAAGTGAGCCAAGCCACATTTGGTGTCTATCTACCTTGTCTCTAGCTTATGCTCCTAAGCCAGGCAGAAAATTTGGTACTCGGGAGGGAAACTTGCTGGAAGGAGAGGAAAACCGAGGAAGAAAAGTCTGATTCTGGGGGTGTTCACACTCCCTGGGGGTGCGAGACGATATTCCAGGGGGTGTGAAAACTTGGGTTTTCAAAATTATAATGTATATGCTTAATTCGTTGATGTTATTTTGAACTTTTGTAAGGGATGCGAGAATATATCAGAAGTGTTCTAGGGTTGCGGGGTATAGAAAAGTTTGGGAGCTGCTGCTATAGACCATGCCTTAGAACAGAGATTTCCAATTTGAGATCCAAAGGCGATATATGCTCCTGAAAGCCTTGGATGTGATCTCTTAGAGCAGAGTTCTCCAACTTTTCCGGCTTTGCAGACCAGTGGGGGGGGGGGAGAGGGGATGATTTCTCGCTTGCAGCTGGCAAGCGTGCTTGCAGCTCCTCCAAATGAAGATGCACGTGTGTGCACTCACCAGCCGTTTTTGCAGCCTGGTTGCAATTCCCTCACGGCTCTTTCCCTCTTTCCCTCCCTCTCTCTCTTTCCCTCCCTCTCTCTCTCCCTCTCTTTTTTTCTCTCTCTCCCTTTCTCTTTCTCTCTCTCTCCCTCTCTCTCTCTCTCTCTCTCTCTCCCTCTCTCTCCCTTTCTCTTTCTCTCTCTTTCTTTCTCTCCCCCCCTCTCTCTCTTTCTCTCCCTCTCTCTCTTTCTCTCTCCCCCCTTCTCTCTCCCTCTCTCTGATCTTCTGCTCACCTGGCAAGCTGGCTTCAAGCTATTCTCCAACAGGCTGGCTCTCTCCTGCCCTTCCTGCTTCCTGCAGAGATGCAGTCAAGGCAGGAGCTCCGCCCAATAAGCTTGTCAGCTCGTCGGAAAATAGGGTGAGGGCACTCTCTTTTTTTTTTACACACACAAACACACAGAGGAGAGAGAGAGAGAGAGAGAGAGAGAGAGAGAGAGAGAGAGAGAGAGAAGGGAAGCGCAAGTGCCACTCTCTGTCTCTCTCTCTCTCTCTCTCTCTGCAAATGGCAGAGGAGGCTGGGAACCATAGGAGAAGGCTCAAAGAGTCACATGCGGCTCCGGAGCCACAGGTTGCCAATCTGTGGCATAGTAAGTTGGGCTGGAAGATAATGATTGACTAAAGAAAGTTGCCCAAGGAACATCTTGGCTGAGAGATGATTTGAATCAAAATCTTTTGAATCTATCACTCTACCGCTAGTATACAGGTAATCCTCGACCTACAAGCATTCATTTAGTGACTGTTCAAAGTTACAACCA